TCTCTGTTAATGATTGAAGAATAACTGTAAACTTATATAATGTGCTCCAGCTGGTGGAGGTTTCTACGAAACCTGAAACCTACGCTCTGCTAGCTAGACTTTCTATCATCACCGAGCTGCATCCATTGCCTATGAACTCATCTTCTCTAGGATAAGGTGTGCATCCAACTAAGGCTCTGTATGACTGATTACTTTGCAGTACCTGTAGGATAGAATGTGATTTATGTTCAGCATTACTCTCCATAGAAGTTGTCATGGTCTATAAATAAACTATCATGCACTGCTCTGCTCCACCATGACGTGCTTACTCTCCGCACCTCTGGTTTCTCCCTGGAGGATGCATGGCTGTAGCAGACAATAGCACCTCGAGCAGAGAACTTGACCATATTAGCATGTGCTCTTCGCTCAGGGTGCCCCAGGGCGTGTTCCCTTCAATCCTTCATGGTGGGCTCGTTTACAACATGTGTTGGTTAATGTCCTTGACCAAGTTAATCAACAACTATATTTCGGACAGCTAGGCAAAGTTCTCTTCACTAAGATCAGGTTTTACAAACCCATTAGAAATTGGTCTGCTATTAAGGTAGCATATGGCATATTGATACCCAATCTTTAAATCTTCCTTCCCATTTACCTTAGCAAAGTTAACCCTAGTTTAGTGCCAACTAATTAGTAAATGCGAGAATGCAGAAGATATGAAGCATTGAGCTGTGAACTGGAGTTTTTTTAGCCCTCCAAAATTTTCAATATTCAGTCGGTTCATATCGGTTTTTGTTCTGCCATATGAGACATGCAATTAATGGTGGATTCTCTTTGTGTTTTTTTTGTTATGTTGTGGACTAAGTCAACCTAACAGGAGTTCATTGCATACTTGCCTTGCTGTTATTAAATTATAACTGCCCTTTTTCTGCTCTGAAATCTTTGTGTTTCAATTTTCATTAAAGGGGTTCCTTCCTCACATGATCTCTTTTCTGATCATCCATTGATGGATGACAAGGGCACTGAACAATAAGGAATGACGATACTGCTCTGACAGTTGCGGTTAAAAGGCAGGCTATGCAGGATTTGGCCGGCAGCAGCTCGGCTACTGATCAGGTTAGTACAGACAACCTTGCTGTTCATCCATGCTAGTGCCTTTTTGGTACACACTATCGCCTTTGATTATTATGCGATCTCTATGTTATATTGATTTGTCTTGACAAAACAAAACAGGTATGCTAGTATACTAGTCCATCACGCGCGCCCTCGCGCGCGTCGGTGGTTAGTCGGAAATGGAATCGTGGTTCTGAACATGTTCGCATATTTTTTCAAGATCTTAGCATACACACGATAAATAATTAAATACTTTGCATTGTAATACACACGATAAGTACATTACGCGTGGCTTTGCACACATCGGACAATTTGCCATTCAATTTGATGGTTAATATGAACAAATTCGCAAGGAAAAGGAAATAGCGGTATTATGAAAGATGCATATCTAATTCATTCGGGAGATCATGAAGGTGGAGGGATATTATAGAGGCATATAGCATTAGTTCAAGCCAAACATACTCGATGAGTCTAACATAGTTGATGTTAATGCAATCGGAAAGTAGCAATGGCATGGAAATATGGCCAGGTTTAACACATGGCAATGGTATATTTCAGAAAAAGATATTTGTTTCCAACCTCATTGGCATTGACATATGGTCAACAAAAAAAATTCAAAATAGCAATGCCATGAAAATACGGTGAGGTCTATCGGAAGCACCTCACAGGTATAAATCATAAATCTTATGATCAAGTTGGAATAATTACATCATCAGCCATGGCATATGCTCGAGACTAAAATAAATAAAGCAGCACCATAGGCACACGGTTATATATCTTTGAAAAGATTACAACAGCAAGCATAGTGCATAGAGACATGCTTAGATTTTTTTCGCGGAAACCTTGAACCTTATGCACAAGCAAAATAAATTCATACATACAGGAAACGAAATTAAGGGATCATCATGAGAGATATAAGGTGCCAAAGGAAATAAAGGGGATTTTTTTAGGTTACCATACCAAGACCAAGCAAGTTCAGGGAGGAAGAAATAGAGCATAGCATGGATTTACAGAGGTGGTATCCATTTGTAGATGTACCGAGATGTGTTCCCATTTCAAGGAAACGAATGGATCCATTGATATGTGCATCAGTGTTTAATAAATGGAGAGATGGGATGGAGATTTAAGGAAACCACCTAGGTTTTCTTGTTGAATCCGTCAATCTCTATCATAGATCAGAAGAAAGGACAGAGATTAAGGGAAAGCAACTACCTTTTCTTCTCGAATCCGTCAATGTCTAGCACAGATCAAAAGAGGGAAATAGAGGAGACCGCAATGGGACTAATAGAGGAGAGTGATGTTCTTGCTTCACCTGGGAGATAACAAGTGAACGGAGCAGAGGGGACTGCAGCGGAGGCACCGGAGGCCATAACTGTCGGGGCTAGCCGCGCCGCCGCAGCACCTGCCGGGGGCTCACCGCTGCCCCACCCGAACCCAGAGTGGGGAGCCGGCCATGGCGGGGGGACCGGGGGAGGGGGTGGCTGCGCCCGCGCCGCTGCGCCGCCGTGCCGGGGAGCGGCCACCGCGAACGACCGAGCTAGGGGCGTCGCCCTGCCCGCGACGGTAGCCGCCCGGCGTGCGGCACCGCGTGGGGGGAGAGAGAGAGAGAGAGAGAGAGAGAGAGAGAGAGAGAGAGAGAGAGAGAGAGGAAGAGTAGAGGGAGGGAGCGTCCCTGGGGTGGGGGCGCGCGGGGCGGCGGCGGCGGCGCGTGGGGGGAGAGAGAGAGAGGGAGAGAGAGAGAGAGAGAGGGAGAGAGAGAGGAAGAGTAGAGGGAGGGAGCGTCCCCGGGGTTGGGGCGCGCGGAGCGGCGGCGGCGGCGCTGGCAAGGGCGGCTCGGGGAGGGGAGGAAGAGGCTGCTAGGTGGATGTGGAAGCGAGGAGAAAATTCTAGAGGCAATTTTTTTTAGAGCAACCACCGATAGGCTAACACGTTGAACAAACAGGAAAGAGCGGTGGAAGTAAATCTGGACCGTGAAATTAAAATCAGACGGATGAAATCTTTTTTACTACCGTGGATGTCATGAATGGTGGCCAAAGCAAACTGGCTTAATGATAGTAGATGGGAGAGTGAGAGCTGAGCGAATTTTCCTTCTTGAAGACGGAAAACCAGATGCTCCATGAAGATTGAGACTAACAATCTTGCTTTGGTTTAATTTCATCCTATAGTAGTTTTGGCAAAGTGTATAGTGGTTTTAGCACATATAAGAGTGGATCTTGAACCTGATCTTGTGTGATTGTGTCGAACAAGGACAGAATCTGCAGCTCGAAATTGAGAAGGCGCGGGAGCAATTCAAGAGCCTATTGGACGAACACGTTTCGGTCAGCTGTGCCGGCACAGCGTTAGGCTTCACTTCAATTCGCATGTCACTGGGCACGCGCGGTTTGCCATTGAACCAATTAATAAGGTATCGGAGGATCTACTTGTAACTGTGTCTGACTGGGTTCTAGGCTCCTGATTCCTTATTGTTCTTATATCGTGCAAAATTATTAGGAATCTGTTGCTGATCCTTTCAAAATTGCTCTTTGCAGTGAATGATCATGCTCTTCTGCTGATCAGTAAGCTATATCTTGAAATTCAGTTTGGTTTCAGTTTCTAGTTTTTGAAGTCATTTATGAAAGTTCAGTGTAATATCTACGGTAAAACATTAGCACACTACTTTATACACCTTCACACATTGGGACACATACATATTTATATGGCTGTGATGTCAACATGTCAGTCTTTTATCTCTCTTAAAGGGAGCAAGGACCTAAACATCAAGGCTGAGGAACATCATTTGGAGATGGATAGTTGATTATTTTTCTACCTTATGATTGTATCTGGTTACAAATATAACTATGTATGTCTGCAGGATTTAAATGTCTGGATGTAGAGTGTTAATGTGTGCTCTCATTGGTTCATTCTTGAATGGATTGCACCGATTTGATAATGGACTGTGCCGATTTGATATTGCTAGCAGTTCAACTTGGGTAACTTGGTTTTGGAGGCATTTTTAATAATGCCTCGATGAATGTTTGAAGGCCTTTTTACAGAATGCCTCTAAGAAGTATTTTAGGCATCTAGAAAACGCCTCTACATATTGATATTAGAAGGCATTTTGAAAAAATGCCACAAAAGCTCTTTCGCGTCCAAGTTATAGCAGGCGCTTTTAAGAATGCCTAAAAAAGTCTTTCAAAGCAATTTGACCACTTTTGAAGGCGTTTCTAAATGCCTTGTACAATCAGACGTGCTGTAGTGACTGTGGCTCATATCCAGCTTGCCACATTGGACCCATCCTTTATTAGGGTCCTGGCTTCCTTGCAAAGCGTAAAATGATTACGTACTAATCAGTAAACCCAATGATGGATCTAGGATGAAAGTTGAGGAGGCTGAAAGTTCATCTTTAACCTCCAGCTTCTCCTCCTCAAAGTCAAAGCAACCATTGCAAAAATTCTTGGAGGGAGTCTAGGGGAAGCTCCATAGGATCAGCGGTTGCAAAAATTCTTGGAGGGAGTCTAGGGGAAGCTCCATAGGATCAGCGGTGGTAAAGGGCTTCACGCTCCCCCGTCCCACCGCTAGATACGTCCCTCAGCAACCCTATTTACCCAGCAAATGAAAAAATGGCTAGCTAAAATGAAAATGGGTATGCATGCTCACCTGCATCATTCTTGCTACGACCCTCATTAGCGCCGGGGCTTTTTTGGCCGACAAAAGTTTCATCTTGCCTTTTGCCAGCCTACTTCCGCTCAGATGTGTTATGGTTGTCATGGCCCTCAGCGGGACGACGCATATCTTCACGCTGCACGCGATGATCATGGCGACGACGATCTCGACGAGCATGTTCGTTTGCGCCGGTCTGCTCTCCAGACTCAAACGAGCTGTGTTCATGGCGGCTTGGCGAACGACTACGGCTGTAGTCATTGTGTCACCGCTCAGTTTGACGGTGAGCGTTGGTGATCGGCTACGACCATGTGTGCCAGGTGAAATGGCCCTTCGACTACGCTCTTCATGGTCAGCAATCCAATCATAGCGATTGTAGGGCCTATCGAGTGGGAGTGGTCCGCTGCCGATTCCATGAACGCGGTGGTCGGGAATGCGATGATCTTCCCCGCCTTACCCTCGCCATTACAACCAGATGCCATCTGATGAAAATAGTAAACAAAGGTAAACAAAGAAGCAAGTCCATTTGTTCGTTCGTCCTTATATCAGAAATGAAATGGAGTTAAAAGTGGAGCAAATAATAACTGCGAGACTAGTAGCATATATGTACATGATAAAAAAAAGTAACTTTGCAAAAGCGATTGTAAAAAAAAGTAACTTTGCAAAAGCGCCTTAAGCAGATGGAGTGGTCTCTCTGATCAGATGGCAAAGCACCAGCAGTAATGCAAACGCACCAAGTGCATGTATCCTGGGCGAGTATTTATAACACACTATGAGATTCCTACCATGAGATGCTGAGTAAGTGCACAAATTAAGCATGAAGTAGAGATCGCTATTGACGGTTGCCTTGTGTTCGCAGGAAAGGCTGGTTTGGGAGAATGGCCCCATGCATGGCCTTGGCCTCCATGTCGGCTCCCCCTCACCATCGTCCATGATCGTGCCGACCTCGCACCACTTGCTACGGTGTCGGCCATCCCAGCGCGACGTAGTTTTGATTACGTGGAGGCGGAGGACCTTGTAGTCGCCGGACGGCACGGCACGGCCAAAGCTGTAGTCATTCACGGCGGTCGACGACGACTCGATCGTCCCACCAGGGGACGAGGGGGATAGTTGGTGTCAACGACGGTGAGGTCGCGCCCAGACGCCGGATGGATGATCATGGCACCAAGCTCCATCCTGTCGACGAAGATGAGGTTGAGCTTTCGACGAAGATGAGGTTGAGCCGCGTCAGCGCCAGCGATGCTGGGGCCCTGACGTCGAACACCCTGTGGACGTCGTCCAGGTCGAGCAGGCGCAGCTCGAGCTCTGGTGCGGATCCGAACACATGGCGACGATGAGGGGGCCGGAGCGGCCGCAGGATCTCCGTGCGGCGAGGAAGGCCGGGACGGAGATGAGGGCACGCCAGGCCTTGCACACGCACCGGAACCGGCGCACTGGCGCAGGGCCTTCGCCGGCACCCTGATCAGTAGCACCTCCGACACCGAGATGATGTCCTGCGGCAGTGAGAAGCCGCCGTCGTCGCGTTTGCATAGCTTCGACTGCATCTGCATTGTTGCTGCGCTCGTAGGGTTGGCCGCCCACAGCCAGCAGGCAGCAGCAGCCGCCACCTGGTCGAGGGCCTCCGATCCTTTCCTTCCTCTGTACTTCGACGAGTCTGTCTAGGGTATATATAAGTCCGTACCCCCAACAAACAGATTCGTTGGAGCTTCTGTTAGGCGAGATTTTTTTTTTTTTTTTTTTTTTTTTGCGACAAAGGCGAGATTTGTTTTGATCTCTAGAAACTCTCTCCCGTAAAATAATCGGCTCAACAACCATAAAATATCTACTGGTAAAATTAATACAAGCTTGCCGGAGGTACAGTTGGCCACAAATATAAAGGAAGGGAGAGTTTGTTGAAATATGAACATGAGTCGATCGATAAGTCTAGTTGCACCAAGTCGAGTCCCTGCTCTTTCCTGGCATGAACTCCACTTGGTGAGTGGCATTTGTAGGATGAGATTTTGGCATATCATAATATTTATACTTGTGTTCTTACTTAAGAGAAAAGGAAAATTTCATAAGATAACAATAGTATACCTATCAAATATGGGGTATATTAAAAATATTTTGGGCTGCAAGAGGTTGATTAATTAGTGCACAGTTTGATTAATCAAAATGGGCTCATCGTATAGAGCCCATGCATGGCCCATCCAAATAGTCTCTCTGGCTTGCCAAGAGCACCAGGCCCATGATGAACCTTTGAATAAAATAATTAGTGTATTGCTAATTAAGCCCATTGCATACGTGCGTGTACAAAGACGATACATGGTGCATTTGTTTTCTTTTTTTTTCTTAATTTCCAGAGGCAGACGTGGATCCCGTCTAGTCTCTGATTAACACTGGTGTTATTGTAGAGGCCTGCGCTGAGGTTATATACCTTGTAAATAAAGTCCAATCGTTAATCTCTGCAAAGCTTTCCTGTAGCAGTCTGCTAGCTTGCAGAGATGGATGAACGTATGTAGTGGTACTTCGCCAGAAAACAATCGTCACTTAAATCACGAGTAGTCGAGTACCATTCGTTACAACTCGGTTATTCAAAAATTAGCACTAGTAGCTCCAGGTCGTACAAACTTGTTGGGTAATCGTAAAATATACGTAGATGCATGGCAGCAGCAGTACGTACGTACGTTTATGTGTATGTATATACGTTGGATGGAGATTGCAGGTAGAGGAAGGTGTAATTGGTACATGTGTAGCCCGGTCGTCTGAACCATCAATCCGATGTGTGTGGACTATATATGGACATGCATGCAGGCTGGCAGCCAGCAGTGGGCGTCTCTGCTACCGGCACCAGTCGTTGCAGTTGTCGGACTTGCAGCGCTGGTAGCACACGCCCCACTGGAAGAGGTTGTTGATGAGGCACTTCACCCGGCACGTCGCCTCGCAGATCTGGCAGTCGATGCTGCTCACCAGCTTCCGCGTGCCGCCGCCGCCGCCACCTCCTCCCCCGCCTCGCGAGCCGCCGCCGCCTCGAGTGGTGCCATTGCCGTCGCCTTCCGCTTCGATCGCCGCCGCGGCCTCCACGGGCGCCTGCGCGGCCGCGGGCGCCGGCAGGAGCAGCAGCACGCAGATCGCTCCGGCCTTCACGGCGGCGGCCGCCGGCGGCCAGCATGTATGGCGGCCCATGGATATGCGCTGGTACATACGTAGTGTCTAGCTGGGACAGAGGTTGATGATGCGCGCGAGACGACGATGTATTTTATGGCGGGCCGGCCGGCTTGTTGAATTGTGGCAGGAGGATGATGGAGGGACTGATTTGTACGTGTACGTGCAGTGACCGTTGCATGCGCTGTGCGTGATGGCAGCGGCCGGCCCTGTGTTGGTGCCCGGTGGTTGGGTCATGGCATTGTCATTCTTCCCTGCCCCTCCTCATTTTGGAAGTGCTTAGTGTTAATCACTGCAGCTTTAGCACTAGCTTAGGCCACGAAGTTTGCTTGACTGTTCGTTGTTTGACAGAACTACAAAAGTAATAACAAACCAAGAAAACAAAAACTTGTACGGCTTGTTTACGAACCTACTTTAAAATTATAGTTCACTTAGGCTTTCGTCCTGTTCTTCAGCACTACTTCAACAGTACTTTTCAGCGAACGAACGGTGTTTTTCTCTCACAATAAATCAGCATAAGCAGTAGCATAAGACAAATTTCAACGAAGCGGTCCTGAATGTTTTTTTTTAAAAAAAACTTTAACTAAATTCTTAGAAAAACATATCAACATCTAGAACGTCAAATTGGTTTAGTTAAAACTAAAATTCTTCATGAAAGATGTTTTGATAGAGCATTTATCTGAACTTCTAAATGTTAATACATTTGAAAAAAAAAAACTTAATCAAAGTTAGAAAATTTTGGTATACGGAAAAATTAAATTATAATTTGGAACGGAACAAGAGTATAAAAGTGCTCTCAGAGGAATTGTTGTTGTAGCAATGGTCGGTTAGGGTGCCTCATCATGCCATGGAGACAAGAGGGAACAATGCCTGATGCTAGCTAGGAAGATATATGGCAAAAAGCGAAAAGACAGAAAAATAAAAGACTTGATATGATCGATTCGGGATGTGTCAATCGGCCATGGCTAGGAGATCCCCGACGTCGACAGCGAGTTGTGACGACACTCAAACTGAAACTCGGACATCTTGTTGATGAACTGGCCGGTGGACGTGCCACACGCCCATACCATACCTCACGGACATCAGCCGGGCAGAGCTCCGCCCGAACTTCGCTGTAAAAGTGGAGTTGGTCAACGCCACTGTCTGTGCATCTCTGTCAGTTCGGTCAGAACTGAATACTAACTTGAAGAGAAACCGAAGACCGAACACTCGGTTCACCGATTCTCGCATGCTAATCTCGGCTCTCAATTTCTAAAAACCAAAATGAAAAAAAAAAAGACCCAATGGTCCGATCCAACGGGCATGACCGAACGCCCACACCTACATGTGGTGTCTGCTCAATTTTGGTGCCACCTTAAGTGTTCAGAGACTGAGAGTCGATGTACCGTGTCGAGCTTCAATATATAATATATAAAGCGAGTTAGCCATCCTATCCAGGCTCTTAGCTGCATGTAGTGTGTAAGGCACACTACCGCCTGTTTGATAGGGATTTTTCTCGATTTCACAAAGTTGTTTTTGAGCTTCTCCTACCAAACAGGCCTTTTGAAAATAGCTTCTCCTTAGAACTGTTTTACGGCTCTTCTCGGCACAAGAACCGAGATAAAGCTGAAAATACTATTTTCTTCTAGCTTTCTCTATGCTATATTCCCTAAGAAGTTATTTTAGTAAACATTTTTTAGAAATAACTTTAGCTTCACTAGTGAAGCCGCATTATAAAACCAAAGCTAAAAAATTGCTTCACTAGTGAAGTTGAACTATATCAAATAGACCCTACATAACAAAGCGGGAATGTTTCTTTGCTTGAAAGTGCAAGCTAGGCAAGCAAGAAGGAAAAGACGACCTAACAAAAATAGCAATTACTACTTGCCTGGTAACTTAGCTAGCACTAGCCCTTAACTTATCAGTCTATTTGAATGTTACTTCGATAGTAGTTGTATATATTCCATTAAACTGTATTACTTAATAGGGTATGTCTCCTTTTTAGGTGATTGATGGTTTGGTTAGTCACCATCAAGGACCATTAGATCAAGATCTAACAAACACAGTGCGTTCTTCTTCCTCCCGCTCCGCCTTGTCCTCGCCCCTGCTGCCGCCCACCGCCCCATCGTGGGCGCTAGGGTTCGCCGAA